GAGATTTTCAGAGAAAGCAAAAAAAAAAAAAGTACAGAAAGAGAAATTATCTAAATGAATAAATAAATAATTATATGAATAATATAAGTGCAGAATCTATAATAGGAGTCGCGGAACATGTTTTAATTTAACGAGTCGTAACTGTCATCGTGTGAGTGGTTGCACGTTCTAGAACGTTTTGCATTTGAATCTCGTATAGTTTATCGTAGTGAGACGTTTATAAAGACGTCGATACTCTTTCTCGGGCCGATGTCTTGAAGATGAATAACATTATAAAAACTGTTAGTTGTGTGATCATTATTATTATATATTATATAGTATATTACGACGAGAGTTGTATAAAGAATTAATTATTGTGTATTGTACGATGCGTTATCGCATATTTTAAAATTTGGATTTTCAAACAGCAGATAAATAGAGCAAATCTGGTAAACAAGGCGTTGAAAATCGAAAATCGAAAATCGAAAATTTGTATTCCAAATAATTATTATTATTGATCAATAATTATTTTTATTGATTGATAATAATAATTATCAAAAGAGATTTTATTAAATGAGGATACATAAAGCGTTTTTCTCCTTAAATTTATCCGTATTAATTTACACAAACATGCAAAATTGTTTCTTTATATTTTTCAGTTTTATATCGATTTTAAAAATCCTTGTTGTGTTGCAAAAATCCTTTTTTAATTTTAATTAATTTATTTTCTTCTCATTTTTACGCGACCTATCAATTTATACTTCTTACTATGTCGTTGTACGTATGTTATTTATTATAGCTTAGAATCTTATTTAAAGTGTACTTTATATTTCTTACCTACATTGCTTTTTAAAATTTCATTAAATTAATTAAAATACCGATAACGATAATTGTCGCATTTCTACGGATGTTACGGAAATATTTCGGCATTCGATAGTTATATGGACTATCGGCGCGTTCTTAGAGAATTTTACCTGAGGCATAGAATATAAATGCGTCTAGTGTTAGCTGTGCGGAGGCGAATAGTCCATCATCGAGAGAATCGCTGCTCTGTATATTACGTCCACCAGATTCGAAGTTACGTCTCGTTACTGCGAACGTTCAATATCGATTGTCGAAGGCACACCAGACATCTGTTCCTCGTCATAAAATTACATCACCAAAAGACTCGTGGAATACTCCTGTTCATCGGCCATTCCGGAAATGCATCTACAAGTTCGCCATTGTGTTTTCAATTAACAGGAGATAATGATTGCAACGGCGTCGCTCGACCGAAAAAATTCCATCCGTAACTCTAATTTTGCTGTCGTTTGCGTCAAAGACACTTTTCATCTCTTAAGAGGAATTCCTTTCTATTAATCGAAAAAATAAGGTGTTTTTAGGAATCTTATAAAGGAAACTATTTGATTCAAACGTTTTAAACTTCTTAGTCAAAGAAGGAAGAGTAAATATGGATGCAAAAATTCACAGATATTCATAAAACCTTTTACATGTAAAAATTCAAAACGTATAAATAGTCTTCTTTACAAAATTCCTAAAAGACTTTATTTTTTCGGGACCCAGAAAGGATCTCTTAAATCGAATTTACTTCGAATTATTCTGACATGCGATTATACGAAGCGTGGAGACGCAACTTCGAAAACGGTTCGACATGGATATACGATTGCCTCGATATTGTATATCCTCCATAGTTACAGTTTCTGTTTTCACATATGCATTTATTGTATGATTATTAATAGTTATTGCACACGAGCGGGGCGATTGTAAAATGGCTCGAGGACAATCCACGGATGATTCACCGTAATTGAATCCGAATAAAAGAATCCGAAACGAGAGAATGATAAAAAAAATATCTCGTGGAGCTCTCGTATCATGTATTTTAAAATAAATTAGAAGATCCGATTGCCATTTTGCAATCAACGACTCACAGTTATTGTCCTGATTATTGTTATCATGATTATTACAATCGACATCATGATCATCGTAGCGCGGCACTACTGAGAATAAGAAAGAAATTGATTATTATTATAGAATAAGATTAAATCGGGGAGGAGAGAAACGGAGATCTATTAAAAGCATTAATTGCAACGTTGTAGTAAATGATGTTTGTTATTGTTGCATAAGTAATCTCTTTACGTTATTTTTACCTTTTATGTGTTGTCTTATTAATCGACGACGGCATATTAAGGTAAGTAAAATTGCAGGTGATTGAAAATATGTTTCGTAATATAAATTCTTACATTTCTCAGCACATAAGTACTAAAAAACAATGAAAATCTATATTTTCCACAATATTCTTTTTATTCTTATTTATTTCTATTTTTTGCTTGCAGAAATTTTATACTAAAGCAGAAATTTTATAATCAAGAAGATAATTGACGCGGAAAACTCGCCTTATCGTTTTTGAAATATTAATCTTATTAATCGATGATGGCATATTAAAAAAAGTGAAACACTCGTTCTGCTTCAATTTTAGTAATATAAAAAAATATTTTTTATTTTTACAGTAAGATCTTTTTTTTTAAATGTTTGCTTAGCTGTTTGTAAGCTGTATATGCAAATTGTGCAATAAAAATTTATTCTTAAATATTTCAATGCTTTCAGATTAAAAGCATATTTCGGAATATAATTCCTAAGTTTCTTAGCATATACAATATTATATAAAAACAGCTAAAAATCATTTTCGTGAAATTTTCATTTTGGTTGCAGAAAGTTTTATTTTGGAGTCGCAATCGAGAGAACAATCACGACGAACGCGAACACAGAAAACTCGCTTTGAGAATTGCTTTGGAATAAATTTTATTTTTCGACTTGCGTCTGAATGCAATTTCATCCATTCGAGATCGAATATCGATCTGCGACGAGACCCTAGTGTGTTTCATAAATGATTCGAAATTTTGACGGCGCACGTGTCATTTTTTACGTGCTCTTTTTCGATTAATTAATTGTGCATTATCGTGCGCTTGTGATCTACTTCCGCCCTGATAAGCAATTTCTTTGGCCCACTTAGAAAACGTTTTTAAAACAAGAAAAGTAACGACTATATAAATCACGTCACGTGGCATCTCTTCGCTCGAATTGGCGTTTACTAATTAATATTGTAATTATCTCGAGCCTTGCACATGTAATCCAAGCTCATTAAATATGTATTAGATCCCGATTGTCGTGCAAGATGATTTCACTTACGAAGGCCGCGAAAGCGAGGCGATTTTATATTTTCGCGGCGTATCGCTAATCTCCAAGAGTTATTTGTGGAACATCTTAATTTCACAATAACGGGAGTTATGAAAGTTCTATAACTTTTGCCTAAATCACGGGAGAAAATTAATCATGCGGCGACAGATATCATCTGGTGCGTGAAGTATGTATTGGAAAAGACAAGAAAATCTGCGGTCGCCCGCGTATCTCCTACGGGGCGAAATGGAGCGACGCGGGTTCGCTAGATTCTTTCGTGAAGCATGAAATTCCGCGCTAGCAAGAAGAGTTCGCGCAAAGTGAGCGAACACTTCAGAAATCAAACTTGACCCTGAAAGTTTTGTTGATCGTTTTGACAATCGGATGAAGAGAGAAAGGCGAAAAGTCGACACGTGTGAGAATATTCAATGCGCAAGTTGACGTCAATTGGTCGTCGACACGCTGGATGTTCAGCTTTTACTTCAAAGTGACATGCTTTTCGCAGATGTTTGTAATAGCTAATTCAAAACTTGACTATGTATCTTATAACGTATTTTTCCTTAATTTTCATTTAATAACAATAATTATAAATGATAATCAAATGATCATTTAAATTCCCTGATATATAAAAAATATATATAATTATAATAAATTCGACAAATAGGGAATTAGTGCTGTAATAATACGATATATCAATTTCAATGTTATAAAATTGTATCCTAATTTAATTATTGATTTGTAGTATACATGTTTTGGCTAACTTTTTAGTCATCTTCAGTACGTAGATAATTCTATGTGGAAACGTAAGCGTTAAGATATATAAAATTAAGGTACTCGCATGATTTTCCTTACTTTTAAAATCCGCATTAAGGATGGCTAAAAAATTAGCCGAAACATGTGTATACTACAAATCAATAATTAAATTAGGATACATACCATTCAATAATATTGAAATTGATTGCGCACGTACTACAACATTATTTCCTTATTTGCCGAATTTATTATAATTATAAATAATTATAAATGTCTAAAAAAAACATTTAATCAATTTAATTTTTTTTCAATATTCAGATTTATTCTTTAAATTTAAATCTTTTTGTTTTTCAGCATGAAAAACTTAAGATGTTAAGATGTAATGTTCAAATAATTCTTCATTTTCAGAGAATGGACTTTCTAAGACATGTAAAAATTAAAATCAATATTTTTGTGTTAATTTTAACATCAAAGTGTACGCCTTTAAGTTAAAATTAACATTTTACTTTTTATAGTGTAAAAAAAAATAACTTTAAATTAGTTGTTTCATGACATATATTTTTTCTTTTCACACCTAACTTCTTTAATGAAATTATATTTCATTTTTACTTTTTTTCAACAATTCATTGCGTCATCGCATTCACAAAAACACATGTATATATGTTTGACATGTGCATGTTTGAATGTTTGCATCTGCATTGTGTCTACATTGAATCGAGATAAGATCCGTGCTTCTACAATGATTATACCGATCAGTTATCTCTGCGGGTTAAGAGAATGTATTCAAAACTTCAAATACGAATAAAAAAGACACGTGTCTCAATTCTATTAAACTCTCTTCTGTATTTAATTTTATATTGGGATATATTCTCAAGATAACTCTGATTAAAATCATACTCAATCATTCAAATCTGCCGCCTGCCGCCATTTATTTTTCTAATATTGAGAAGTTAGCCGCTAAAGTTTTTTTTTTAACAGGAACATTTAAGTGTCCGAACTTGCAACGTTCTTCTATTCGTTATACCGCATTGCGACGCAATTCCTTAGTCGCGCACAGTTTCTTTGATGCGCAAGAAAATAATTCGTTCAGCGCCATGGATTTGTTGTTCGATTGGAGTATGAAGGATATAAATCTTATTCTGCCGTACGTGAAGAAACGATTAATGTCAGGAAACGCGCAGGTATAAAAGAAATTCCTTATATTTGCTATTATTATTAAACATCGGATTTTTTATGCTGACAAAATATGCAAGTATACATAAAATATGCACAAATAAATATGCATTTTTGGAATGCCTTTTCAATAAGACAAATTTCTGCTGCGATTTTACTTCCTAATCTATTTTCTAAAAAAATATACAATTGCAGAGAATTCGATGTTTAATAATTATTATATATCTACTTTAATAATAGTATCTTTCTTGATGGACACGCGTTGGTTATACTACGTTGGGAAATAATTGACATCCAGGGTCTCGTCCCTGCGCACCGGAAAATCGTCCCGCGTGGGCCGGACTACCAGAGTCCTGTCGGTGTGCAGAGTGATATTGCCATGTACTGTCTTACTTCCGACTCGGGATTATCATCATAGGTGTTACACTGCAGCTTAGTCTAGAAAATCAGATGCTGAAACTGCAGTGTAACATCATGGTGGTCGATGCGGAGGTTGGCAATATCGATCGTCGGCGAACTTGACGCCCTTAGCACTGTCAGGATAATGGACTTCCTATGGAGGTCCATCTTCATGCCGGTGTTACTGACCTGTATCTTGTACTTGTACACCTTACTGTTCAACAATAGGTATATGAGTGCATGGTGCAGGTATTTTTGCGTAATATAATACGTTTTAATTTTTCGTTTTTTATTTTTAATTATTTCTATGTATCGCAATTTCTATGTGTCTACAAAGAGACATCAAATTTTTGTATTAAGTCTAATATCAAAGAAAAAATACTATATATTTTATAGAGATAATAAGATATATATCTTTTTCTTGGAAAATTATCTTTAATTTCAATAGGAAATTATAGGCAACATTCCTCGATCGAATTTTTATTCTTACTCTTCTTCTTAATAAGATTTAACTGATTAAGTATAACTTTCCTCGTAATAGAGATATAATTTCGCTGAGTTTAATCGTTGCAAATACGCGAAAATGGATCCTGCATCAAATTGCGTTTCATTAATTCGCGAACGAGCGTGAAGAGCAATCATTACAACTCGGAAAGCATGCATTTGATATGAACTCAGCGAAATTATAGGCATATTCATCACCTGTAACATAAACACGTAACGCACGAATCGAGGACGATCGATCGGAAATAGAGCGGAAAGGAATGAAAACGAGATCGGCCTAATCTACGATCGATGGCTTCGTTTATTAATATACATCTTCTGCAATCATAATTTCATTTTCTCTTCGATTCTTGTCTATTTAAATTAGAACTGGATTTCGGAGAAGCTATTGAATTTTCTGATACAGACGGAGGAATCTGAAAGAGGTATTGTTGTGGGAAAGCTTGTTAAATTCGACGTGATATCTACAATATGCGAGGTCGTGCAAACATCGGATGAAAATTTCATCAAGTATGTAATTCCATTCTTACGAAAAAGATATTTATATGTTTATCGAATTCAAATTTTCCTACATCCAGTGCGATTCTTCATGATTGAAAGGTACCGATTTTATTCGCAGAGTTGTTCTCGAAATCTTCGAGATTGTAAGCGCTCACAAAGAGTTCTATGAAAATCAAGCGGCCATAATTACTATGCAGACAATGCTAAGACTTAGTTACTGCGTAAATAAATCACTCAAAGACTCAACGCTGTTCGAGAAACTTGTAGGGGGCATGTCTGATATACTTGTTAGGTATACTTTTCTGATTATTTACTGTAAAAACGCAATGTAGTATAAATAATATATTTATATTAATTAATATAATGCATAATTAATTTTATATATTATTATTTATATATTATTATATAATTGATTATATTTACAAGTTATTTTCATTGATATTAATGATTTTAATAAATTATTAAAAGATTTGCTGGAGCAATTATAATTGTTATTCACACATAGTAAAATTGAAGGCTTTAATGATTTCTAGATCGCTAAAGTTAGATGTGAGTTTCGACACGGATTGCATTCTGCAGCAAATTGTATTTTTCGTGAAAAATCTGGATATCAAAGAATTGAAAAAGAACAAGCTGAAATTTATTACTATCACGATGTTTAATGTCATTCTGCAGAAACAAGCAGTCTTCGATAAAAATATCGATGCGGAAATGATCATCGACGTTTGTCACGATATATTAGAGTCAATGACAAAGATTGTCAAATGTGACGATGATAATGACACGATTTCATTCGCCATTGATTCATTATGCAGTACCTGCGCCAGCAGTGCTCGGTGGAATATTCATCAATTTATTTTTCTTCAACATCAATATATCAAAACTATTTTTATTATTAATAAAATGTTTCTGTGTCCGCAGATTCTGCCTCATGCAAGATTCGAGAGAAAATAATAAGACCGAACTTAAGATTTACGAAAAGAAAAATGATTTGGAAATTTCCGTGTACCATACGGTGATGGACATAATTATACCATACGTTAAAGTACGTTCGTTAGGAAATATAATAAAATATTAATCTACTAAAAATAATACGCCGCATAAATAAATATAAATAAATGGAATAAGTCATAAACACTATTGCTTTTTTTTGATAGGATAAAGACTTGTCTTCTCTAGACTTGATCGGATTTTATAGAAGTCTCGTCTTTTGTCTAAACAATTTGTATCAGCTAAAAAATTGCAATAAGGACAATTTGTCCAATCATTTGACTGCCAATGGATATCTGAAACGCTTGTTATATTTAACTGTGCAGTTTCCGTAAGTTGCATATCCGTTTCTAATACTGTATAGATCAATAGAATTATAAATGGCAATTATAAATTGACAAAAGGCATTTATGTTATATTCAATATTTTATAATTAAATATACATGGAAAGAATTTTTTTAAAAATTTATCCTGAAAATATGATAGTCGTGGGACAACATAATATTTCCAAAAATTTTAGTATAAATCTCTCTCATTCATTAATAAAACTACAATAAAGTATAAAATAAAAGTTTGATTAATTTTACTGAAATGCATGATAAAAATCTTTACAATATTGTATTGTACCACAACTATCATATTTTCGAAGTAAATTTTAAAACAAAATTCTTTCTGTGTATATAATTATTTTTTTAATAAACCTATGCCACACACACAGAAATAAAAACAAACTCTAATAGATATATATAAAGATCTAAATACTTCAGACATCTTTTCCTAATACTTTTCAAACTTTTATATATTAACGACAATCTATCATTTTTAATTTAAGTTTCGGACACATTAAACTTGCTAAGAATTCTTTCATCATTTCTTTAAAGATAATTTTTATGCTTTCAATTGTAATTTTTTTTTTACTTTATTCCTTTTATACTATTTTACAGAATTTTCTAAAAATCTATCTATCTAAAAATATACATAAAGAGATCGATTCGTATTTCTGTGCTATTCGTAGCGCTCTGAAAATCTTTAATATATGTAAATAGTTTTTATATAAGGTTTGCAATATTGCAGAATAAATTTTGTGTGTTACATATTATTGCTGAAGTTTAAATCTCTAATTTCAAAGATATATCTAAATCACTCAACATCATATACAAACTGCGAAGCAACATTTCACATTGCAGAGAGAATTTACGAAGAAGCACCTGTATATTACTGTCACGGATCCTGAGTATTCTCGGTAAAATGGCATTCCCCATAAAAACGACGAAGTTTGCGAATATATTGAATCAAGGTCTCGTTGAATTACCAAAAGATTCAACAAAATGGAACGATGCAGTAGCGTGCAAAAAAAACGGATCGGTCCTGATAATTCTGCTATATTATCATTATCTTGGCACAAGAGAGTATGAAAAAAACTATACTTTTCTGTATTATCACTTGTTTCATTCAAATACTACAATTTTTATATCATTCTTTAGAAGCGACGTGATATCTTTAAAATCTTTAATTACTAGAATCATGCTACTTCCAAAATCTACACCGATCTCAATTTTGATTTTAAAACCTTTATGGTTGCTATTTGCTGTAAGTACATATTTATCTCGTACTTGTTTACGATATGCACTGATTGCGTTCGATTTCGCAGGTAACGTCTCTATCTCATCCACGTCCTAATTTAGTATATCATTACGAAAACGCAGTTGTTCAGATGATGAGCATCTTGCAACGTTCAGAAATCAGTGAATTTTATACTCATCATGTCGATCTTTTACATTACTGTCTTACATGTCCGAACATTTCACAAAACTTGCTGTATCGAGTTTTAAATTTATGGCTGATAGAGTCTGATGGAGATATCAAGCCGTTATCATTTAATTATGACAAAGTTGCTGAATATCTATTGGTAAGTAGAATATCTATTTCTATATGTCAAAAAAAAGAAAGAAAAAGAGAAAATATGAAATTAACATTTCTTTTTGAATATTTTTAAGATAATTTTAAATATTTTAATAAGTTATAACATTTGACAGTTTGATTAAAAAAGTTTTAATACGAGAACAAATAATAATTTTTACTTGCTTACAAATAGGATATGATACATAGCAATTTTTCTAACAGTTTTGTCAATATTGCTCTGAAAGGACTTTGCCATTTAATACAAATCATCAAAAACGACAAACAGCGCATAGACAATCTCGCGAATACAGTGTGGCAAACATTACCTGATATTTTTTCATCGTATCAACCAGATACTGGTTTGTCAAAATAATTCAATAAATCTTCTAAGAGAAATATCATTACTATAAATATCATTAGTCTCTCTCTGTTATATTATTAATTTTTTAAAAATATATATATATTATTTATACTTATTATATTTATACGTAAAATTAATATTATAATTTTATTTAATATTGAGATTAATATTGTGATTTTGTCAACATTTGCATTTGTAGTCACACATATAGAAACAGCTCTGGAGTTAGCTAATATTATCCGACCATCCATGATACCATTACCTTTCATAATACGTAGCGCCGATAATATAGCCAATATTATACTTAACAAAAATACGAACTATTCTAATATAAAATTCATGACTTTAGTTTTAATGCAAGCGTACATCTTGTTAGAAGTCGCTATGACGCGCAATTCATTTGAAGGTAAAATACGAATATTTGTGAAAATGAATAATTACTTACAATAGATAAAATTATATATGTGCACACGTTTCTATTGAAATATGTTTTAAATATTATATTAAATAGAATATTTTAATAGAATATTTCAATTACAGTACTTAAAACGTACATGACAAATTTTCGGCTATTAAAATGGTTATACGTTCATGGATTTTCAAAAGAAAGATCAGATTTATCCACTGCTAGTATAAAACTGTTTACGTTTATTATTCATTGTCAAAAGAAATCATCACTAAAGGTATATTGGTTGCATATGTAAAAATTTAAGTGAAATTGTTGTATATTTTAAGATAAATTTGTTTTTCAGTGCAAAATGTCATTAACGATCAAAGTAAATCATTTATGTAACATGTTGTTATACGCAAAAGAATTACCATATTGTATAGCGAACGAGATGCAATTTATGTGCGAACTTTTAACATCAAATGATGGCTCGGCCGTCATTTTGCAAAACATCGTAACTGAAAGTAATTATATATACTTGGTTGAAATTTATGAAATTCTTCATCTCATTCATGCAGAGGTTAGTTATATTTAAAAATAAGACTGAAAAAGTGTGAAAGTATCTTTCTTGTATCATAAAATTTATTCGTTGTTTGTTTTAATAATTAGAAATATTAAAGTAATTAGATAACAGATAAGATAATAATCAATTGACATATCTAATTATTATTACCTTTTTACAGGTAGATCCAATATCGCAAGATATGGTATATCGAAGTTTAATTACTCTATTAAATTTTTGTAATACTAAAGCAATTAAGTTAATGCCTTATCTTAGCACTATAATGAGTACTTATAGTCTCATCAAGAGCGTTGATGTACAACGTCCATCGTGTCACTTCGACGAATTCATCGTTCCTTGGCTTTATTATCACAAGAAATATGATGAATATTATGTACCATGGAATCCTGAAGCGCTATTTAAGACACCCTTTGATGAAACTTTAGATAAGCTTAAAGAATATTTAATAGTCCTTAAAAATGAGAAAATGAAAGATGCTTATACAAATTTACAAAAAGCGGTAAGCATTATTTTTGGCTTATTCTAAAATAAATTATATAATCTGCAAGATTAATATCTTAATTAATTACAATATCGTTGTCTCTAATATTTTATTATATTTTATTTATATTTTTGTTTTAGTTATCACAGTTTGAGTAAAATATCATATTTTATCACAATACATGTGATTCATACGTATTAAGGAGGAAGTTGTAAAACTGAATTTATATCTGAAATATCAAATGTTTTATTAAATAGATGTCAATTAATTTTAAAAAATTTGTGTTTTATATTTTGAGATGAATGAGAAAATAAAGTTGTGTATAATAAAATACATACAATATTAAAATAGTTTTCGTCCGCTACACATTAAAATTGCATTATTCGAATAATACGTCCATTATAGAATTTATATTATTTAAAAATATTTTCTTTTAATAGAATAATAGTTTTGAAATAGAATAACATTGATTTATTTTGTAGTGTCATTAATATTGTGGTAATAACATCATAAATAAAACGTACATACTAAAAAGATTCTTTTTGAATATCTAATTTCTCGGTTCATGCTTTCTTTATCTCTACATTTTTCAATTTATTTTTATGATATGCATCTTCATTTCCATTTTTATGTTTCTGTATACATTCTATTATTCATATTGTACAGCCGTCATACCATCATCAGTTTAACCTTTCCAAGATAGCAAAGTCTAAATAAGCAGCTTAAAATATTGAATTATCGCTGTAGCGCATGTTCTTTGCCGCAAGAAGATCAGTCCAAAGAGAATAACTTTTTCAAATCATTAATCGTTTATTTTGCGATTAAAAGTTTGTTCTTCTTGCGCCTCTTCTCAAGAGTAACTCCTCTTAATTCAGAGAGTATTCCTCTTATTTTCACAGTTAACTATTTCGGCTGCATGAAGTAATACTTTTCAAGAATAACTCCTCTTAATTCAGAGAGTATTCCTCTTATTTTCACGGTTAACTATTTCGGCTGCATGAAGTAATACTTGAAAGCATTTAATCTCACGTCGAACTCTCTTTCGACTGAAACGTGTTTGTCATTCATCAACATACTGTCTGCGCGAATGAAATAGTATATCGAGTATGTATATAGAGCGCGACATAGTCTACGGACGCAATTAACGAAATTGGTATTCCGTATATACAGCACCTGATCGAATAAATAGATCTCCTTGCAACAGAATCGCATAGCGATGAGTGTTTCCAGTTGTATCGTGTTTTGGCGACGCCATCGTTCCTGAATTTTGCAGAAACAGCTCTCTTCGCAAGCTTGCAGGAATTGTCTGAGAAGAAGCTTCAACGGCAATATTTACCAATCATCGTAATTACAATTACGAATTATTAACTATCTCAATTATTATAAATTTATAAATGGCAAGAAGTTCAACAATAATATATTAAAAAATAAATTGCTTTCAAATATTCTATTTTATAAATGTTTAAATAAATAAATTGTAACGTTCGCTGATTACTTTGTTACAAAATAAACTTCATGCTTGGTTCTTAATTAAATTAAATAATAAGTTAATTAACAAATTCACGCGCGCGCGTAAATACGAACCTTGAGATCCTTTTTAATTAACAACTTAAAAAATGGGAGCACTAAGCCGGATTAGTATCAACGCAGCATCATAAAGTTCGAGTGAGAGTGTTTCCCATAACCTGCGTCAACATTCAATACATATTACTCGATAAGAAGAAATCTAATTAACTATATGGCGAACTTACATTCTTGATAATCTTTTTGCACGAATGCTCGAGAAATGTAAAGATCTTTGCGAGGAATTCTGATCTTTTTTGGAGACGACGAGACTCTGAGCGCGAATATCATCCTGGTGCCATGTTGAGCGAAGTCGCCAATCGATCAATAGATAGGGATGGCGCTCGGTTTGTTTTCTCTATACTGAGTTTCTTGGTGGAAAATAGGAAATTTTTAGACCCAACAGATCGTGAGGAACTCTTTACTTATGGGAACCATTTGCTTGTGGGAATATTTAAGATGTTAAATTCTTTAATCAATAAATATAAATTAATGTAGAAGTATTTCTTCTTTTTTGCACACTGCATTTAAAATAGATCATTTTACTTACTATTTCTTTGTTAAAATTTGACACAATCTTTCACATAGCTGCATAATTAAAATTTTATAATTTTTTTCGAATAGCATCATATTATCTTAATGTTATTATTCTCAGTTGTGTTGAAACGCTGACTTCAAAAAACAAGAGATTATATTTATTAAGATTCATAAATTTTCATTCTAAAGTTTAAGATAATAGTATTCCATTTTTTAAAGAAAGAATACAAGAGATCTTCATAAAAATAATCAATTTAAGGTCTCACTTTTCTTTATCGGTAAACGATTCTTTGTTAAAAAAAATTTGAAAACATGTGCTGACAGAATGAAATCTTTATATATTCTTAGCGCAATAGAAGTACATTAAATAGCTATCCAACTTTGAAAAATCTTAAGAAAACGCAGTAGACACTGGCATGCGAAACTTTAATTCATAACATACAATTTAATAAGTTTTCCTCAGTTTTACTTCAGAAGAGCAGTCAAAAAAATAAAAGAAAAGATTTTGGTACAATTCTCGCAATTAAAACTTGCACGGCTTAATGGTGACATATATTTCTTAAAAAAATAATAACGAGTTATATTTCTTTTGACAAATCATATTTCTTAGTGACAAATTCAATGTTAAAAATCAATTTTCAATGTGACATGATTTTATAAATGTGTGGATCATGAGAATCAATTTAATATTTTCAATACAAATGAGCAAAAAAAGTCATATTCAGTTAAAGAGGGTCTTTGTGTCTAATAGTATTTTATGAATACAAAATTTTAAATATGAATTTTACAATTACCAGTTCAAGAAATGCAACGATTATTTGTCGATTTTAAAACAGAAACATGAACTGAAACTCTGAAATGCGTAATATCACACAAGTTAAAGTGCAATTTAATATTACTGATGCTAATGAACATCTTCAAAATTTACAGTTAAAGCGCAGTTTGCTTGAATTGGAAATTGTAAAATTTACATAAAAATTATACATCAAAATCCATTTTGATGTATATTTGAAAATGTAGCCTTCTTCGCTTATTTGTATTAAACATTTCTCAGTCGATTTTTATTTAATATTGTTTAATATTATTTACGTAATCTTGAAATCTGAATATGGTTTCTCATGATTTAATAATCATTTTCAAAGAAAAAAATATTGTGTATATTAAAATATGCTCGATTCTTTCATAAAGTGTTTTCACATCAGAAAAAAAGAGATCGAACGAATGCTTTGAAAATTGAATTTGATCCTAAAAGATCACTTTGACAATTGGATATCAAAAGAGAAAACCGGGAAGAGTTTGCATGTAAATATTCGAATTCAAGCGAATATTCGGTTTCAATTTGTCGCGATCATTGACGCACTGGATATTCAGCTTCTATTTCAAAATGGCATGCTTTGGACATTCGCAACAGTTAACCCGAAACTTGACAGTGTATCCTATAACATATATTTCACAAGCGCTTTTTGCCGTCAGCGACGTAACTTCTCGTTTACAATTAAAATGCATTTTTAAATTGTGAAGAGTTGCATAAATGACAGTTAACTACTTCCACCGAGCAATTAGCATAATTATTGTCCAACTTACATGTTGTTCTGTTCCACATCTATTTTTCACTATAATATAATTTTATGTGCATCTTTCCAACTGTGTTTAGTTAGAATAACATATTTTCTACAAGATTTAATTACATTCATGCAAACAGATACAATGCTGTTCTCTCTGAATGCTCATTAAAGAACTTATTATCTTATCTACTAAGTAAATGTGTTTAATTTAAATTGTAAATAAGGAAAAGGCCAATACAGTCGAGGCTAGATCTTGGTGACTAATGTTTTTATATCTCGATTTTAAATACATCTTTCAGTTATATAAATTGTTCTTACTGTCAAATTTAAAATGCAATCATAAATTGAAGCTGAAATAATAATATCACAATTAAATTAATCATTGATTTAATAATGAGGTTATTAATATCTTAAAACACTGTAAATGAGATAAGATATTAGTATCATCATTATTAAATCGACAATCAATTTAATTGTAATATTATTTCAGTTTCAGTTTATAATTATAATAATTATAATAAGTGACGCGCAGTTTATACAATTAAAAGATGTATTTAGAATTTACATATCTATAAAAATATTATTAGACATCAAGATCTCAACTGCATTCCTATCCTTCCTTTCTTATTTGATTTATTCATATAGCACTTTAAATTAACTTATTAATAAACCAAAGAAAAAGAGGCTACGAGCCAAAAATTATTATATAAAATAAAATAAACCGTCGAAGTATAGAAGTTGAATAAAAATAAAAGAAACAAATATATCGTTAAGTAAAAATTTAATCTAATATGCTAGCAGTAAACGTTTCGCTCACACTCGGATCATTTTCAATGTTAAACATACATATTTATTACAGTTAGATTAAATTTTTACTTAATGATATATATTTGTTTCTTTTATTTTTGTTCAACTTCTATATTTCGATGATTTATTTTATTTTATATAATAATTTTTGGCTTGTAGCTCCTTTTTCTTTGGTTTTTAAAAATTATGAGCCTTATTACTAATAGATAATTTAACTTATTAATATTTAATTTATTTACGTCAATAAAATTGATAAGACTCTGAAATAGTCAGCATGCAGATATTGCAGATATTGCAGATCCGTTAGGTAAATGATGTAAAAGCTAACTTTTAAGTTGTTTCAACATGAATATAAGACCCTTATTTATAGCGCTTCTACTAAGAAACTCTAAGAAATTAAGACCAGTTTTAAGATATGTTATGTCTCTCAAGTTGTTGAATTTCAAGTTATCAAGATATCCATAACATTATTATATGCTGACATCAATTTGGAAAACGTAT